GTTTGACTTCTATCAGCTGTTAATGCGATCCAATTATTTGAAGTCCATACTGCGTTGCATTTGCATATTACTGCCTAATCAAATATGACTTCTCATGTATGGTAGTGCTTCTAAATAAAAAGTCTTCTGCACTAAGTGAATGGGATCAGGCCTGTCCACACACGATGCCCATTAAACTGGAATGATTCAAAGCCTATTTAATCTGTCATATTTTACAAAGTGACAATTAATTTAAATGAATTGGAAAGATAACACAATGAAGCGTATCACATGCGTTGTTGAAAATAATTAATGCAAATACGCATTCAGAACCAGAGAGAAACTTGGCACAGTGAATCTTTTGGATCGCTCGTTTCATATTAAGCAAGTTTTTAAACCGATGTCAGTAAGTGGGTGGGATTGTGGAAGTGTGAGAACAAACAACTCTGCTTGTTTGTTTCCTTTTTTTTAAAATTTACTGGTGTGCATGTTACAAAGGCACAGTTACACATTTATTTGTTTTGTGTCATTGTTTTTTGCATGTTTTTTGTGTTTTCTTGTTACGTTTGGGTGTTTCATTTGCCTCCACCGTTCTTGCGTACCCTTTGTTAGATGATAATACAATCGTTCAGCCTGTGCTTATGACCTGTTTTCTAAGAATCCACATGTTTCAAAACAGAACACAGACAGCAGAGACCAAATCTTTTTACACTAGTATAAACAGACAAACATATCTAACCATAATGTGGTAAATATCACAAAAAGGGGTGGGTTCAGTGAACGGGATGAAAAAGAGAGGAAAGGATTTTTCTCTTTCAATGGATCAGTAACTTTCCAATTTGAACACAATTCTCATCTAAAATTCAGACGGGAAGGCAGCACAATATTATTCTGGGCAAATCAACAGGGAAATTGGGTCACCTTTGAGATATTTTTTTTAATGCAGAAAAAACAAATAAGTCATTTAAAAATATAAAAATGAGAGGGAGAGAAGATGGCAACACAAATTATGAACGAGTAATGCAAACGTAATGAAAGAGAAGAGAACAGACAGAGATGCTTAAGCAGACTGACGTACACAACACAAGTGGAGCAACAGTGGAATGCCAGATTGTGTTTGGTGTTTAATAAAATGACATACATGGAGTTTGTGTTCATTGTGACACATAACTAATGAACCAATATTAATTATTTGCTGAATCCAACTTTAGAGTACAAACGTCAAAGTCACAGTCATCTCATTTAGATTGAAAATGTTTGCCTTTGTGTTGGCGGATGCACTTCAACACACAATTTCCGACAAGCAAACAAACTGTCAGACAGACTCCTGTTTTGAATAAATTATGCAAATTAGTTGCAAAGTTATGTTGGGTTTGCAGAACAGAGGGAAAGTGTGGACGGTTTCAAGTTAAAACAGTGTTGATGGTTATACGGAATAGTTAATTGACAACTTTCACAAATTGACTTGTTTTAAAAGGCAGAATAAGCAGTCTGACAGAGGACTCAACACATGATTGAAAAGGTAAGTACAGTTTATTGTGAAATGGAGATATTTTTTACACAGGGGAATGGTCTTCAAGGTAAGGGGGGACAGGGATTGTCAATAATTACTTTTGACATTTTGTCTTTCAGAGCTTGGAGCGTGGAGATTCCAGAGGAGTGGAGTACAGGTGAGTGATCAAAGGTGTGTGGCAGGGCGGAAACCAAAAGAGCAGCTTCAGTGTCGACGGGTGAGATTGATCTCAGGCTGTTCTGAGAACTCGAGGTAAGTGGTTCCAGACAGACTCAACAAGACTCAAGGAAGGTGAGTATTCACAGGGGTGGAAAACCCAAAGGAGCAGGTCTTGGCCAAAACACAAGGAAAATCAAAAGTTAGTATTCTCAAGGATTTAAGTTACGTGTAGTAGTGGCTGTCACGTAGTACCCAAAGGCTTCAATGATTCATCATCGAAGATTTCCCACAGGAGCTTAAGTACAGCTGTCTTCTATCAGAGCAGGATCAGGAACAGGTGTGATGGGGTTGGCTCCACCCAGCCACTCAGGAACTGCAGAAGCCAGGTAAGGCATAAAGTGCCCTAAATCTCCATGTTAACTGACTATGTTGTCCAAAAAAATTAAACAAACAAAATAAAAACAATACTTCACAGTAGGATCAAACGTGTTTTTGTTGTTAAAGCAAAAACTTGTTTTAGGCCAAATTTTAAACGGTTTCATAGTAAAGTTAACGCCACATTTTAAATGCTTTCAAATGTTTTGGTGTGTAATTCTGAACACATCCACAATCTTGAACCCTTAGACCATATTATTTCTACCGCTTCAGTTCTCGTCAGTGCTCGTGAATTTCAAAGGACTTTTTGTGTAAATTTCATCCAAACACGACTCTCTAAACCTTGTCTGAACAAGTGGCAATCTAAAACTAAGGCTTGTTCAAGTCTTTTCAAAATAAAAATGTGTAAAATATGAGGAAAGAAGTACTAGAGGGGTACTGGAGAAGCGAGTCCGATCGTTGGTTGAACCTCAGATCCAGGAGGAGCAATGTGGATTCCGTCCTGGCTGTGGAACACTGGACCAGCTCTTTACCCTCACTAGGGTCCTCAAGGGATCATGGAAGTTTGCCCATCCAGTCTACATGTTTTTGTGGATTTGGAGAAGGCTTTTGACCATGTTCCTCGAGGTACACTGTGGGGGGTGCGCCATGACTATGGGATTGGGGGCTCATTGTTACAGACTGTTCAGCCCCTATACAAGCGGTGCAAGAGTTTGGTTTGCATTGCCGGTAGTAAGTTGGGCGCCTTCAGTGTGGGAGTTGGACTCCACCAGAGCTGCCTGTTGTCACCGATTCTGTTCATAACTTTTATGACAGAGTTTCTTGGTGCAGCCAGGGAGCAGAGGGATTCTGGTTCTGTGGCCTCAGGATTCCCTGTCTGCTCTTTGCAGATGACATGGTCCTGTTGGCATCATCGTGCCGGGATCTTCAGCTGTCACTGGAGTGGTTTGTAGCCGAATGCAAAGCAGCTGGGATGAGAATCAACACCTCTAAATCTGAAGCCATGGTCCTCAGTCGGAAATGGGTGTATTGCTCTCTTCAGGTCGAGGGTAAGGTTCTGCTTTAAGTGGAGGAGTTCAAGTATCTCAGGGTTTTGTTCACAAGTGAGGGAAGAATGGTGCATGAGATTGACAGACGGATTGGTGCAGCATCTGCAGTATTGTGGACTCTGTGCTTGTCCGTTGTGGTGAAGAGGGAGCTGAGCTCTAAGGTGAAGCTCTCTGTTTACCGGTCAGTCTACGTTCCTACCCTCACCTATAGTCATAAACTCTGGGTAGTGACCAAAAAAAATGGGATTGCAGATACAGGCAGTTGAAATGAGTTTCCTCTGTTGGACTCTCCCTTAGAGATAGGGTGCGAAGTTCAGTTTTCCGGGAGAGACTCAGAGTAGAACCACTGTTCCTTCACATCAATAAGAGCCAGTTGAGGTGTTCAGGTATCTGGTAAAGATGCTTCCTGAGCACCTCCCTTTGGGCATGTCCAATTGGGAGGAGACCTCTGGGAAGACCCAGGACACGTTGGAGAGACTACATCTCACGTTTGGCCTGGGAACGCTTTGGGGTCCCCCCAGAAGAGCTGGAAGAGGTGGCTGTGGAAAGAGATGTCTGGGCCTCCCTGCTCAAGCTGCTGCCCCTGCAACCCGATTTCAGAATAATCAGAATATGATGGATGGATGGATGGATGGATGGATGGATGGATGGATGGATGGATGGATGGAGAAAATATACCTACAAACAAAGACAGTGTTGTAAGAATGGGGAAAAAAATCAATGGTTTAAAATGTGTTTTAACTATTTAAACATCAGAAAATATAAAACTCCAGATACTATTAGATCTTGATGTAATCTTTACCAGATTTTTTTTTTTTAAGGAAAAAAATGTTTAGTGTGGTTGCAGGTAAATTTAGTAAATTTGAAAAAAATAAAGTTGGAGATGTTCCACTGTACAGCTGCTTCTGCATCAGTATGATGCATCATGCATTTAACCCATTGCACCTGGGCTGCACCCAGGTGGGGCGGTGGGCAGCTACTGTATGTTAGTGCCCAGGGAGCAATTAGGGATTGGGTGTCTTGCTCAGAGACACCACGACATGTGAGAATGGCTGGGGATCGAGCATGGGACTTTCAGGTCCCAGGTCAGCTGCCCTGCCTCTACCCTATCTCGGACCTCATTTTCTCAAAATTATAATAAAACAATCTGAGAACTCAGATGATAAGATCACCTAATGTGATCCAACAAATTGTTCGGCTTTGGCTGTTTCATTGCATGTAATGTGGCATTAAAGGTCCAAGTGACCAAATACATTTGTTGATTTTTTATTTTTATTTTTTTTGTCAGCTGAAGTGTCACTTAATGTGACAGTCTATTAGAAACAAACCAGAGGGTGGAAAAATATTGGTTTTATTTCAAGGCTACCTCTCAACTCAACAGTCACTATTTACTGCAGTAGATCAATTTAGGGAGAGCTAATGGCTTGGGAGTCGATTTAGTTACTTATTTATATATTTGTTTGCAGAGATCTTAACTTCCAAAGCTGCATTTTAACTATACCTAATAAATACATTTAAAAAGAAGCAAATTGGAAGTTTTCTTCTGAGAAAATTAACAAAGATGTTTATGCAAGACCTGAAAGTCTTGTAGCTAGCCAAAAACAAGTATTTATTGGTTTTAATAGGTTTTAAGGTGTGTGGAAGTTGCCCCAAAGATGGTTTCAAAATGTTTTTGTTGTTGTTGGGTAATTTTTAAACTATAAAGTGAGCAAGTTCATAACTAATCATAATGAAACCACTACAAATTAAATAATGTTAGTCTTGCAAGAAGTAGAAGATGTTATATTTGCTTTGTTGTGCACAGCAACAGTAATGTTGATTGCAAGAACTCAAGCAGGAAATCTGGTACATAAACTTATACAGTAAAAAAAATAAAATAAATTGCCATCATAGATAAACTTTCTCCCTCTTTTTTCCCTCCACAGGACAGTCCACTGATCCTCCAGTCAGACAGGAACGTGACTGTCAATGCAAGAAACGATCAGGGACAACTGACTGGTCAGCTAACCGTGGGTAAGACACACCACCTCGCAAAGGCTTGTTTTCACACACATGGCACCATTTTATTTAAAAACAAAGTTCAGTTCAGTTAATTTCTTCGAAACCTTTTTTGTGGCGTTGCTATGTACTTAAACTCATAAATTAATTTCCCATTTTTTCTGATTACTGAACTAAATGTCGTCTGTTTTCATTAGTGCTTTTAATGGAGGCTAGCAGTCCTGTTGTTTTCTGAACAAAATCATGTTTTCCAAGCCCTTATTGAATCACTGAGGCTCAGCATTCAAAACACGTCTCTTAAAGGGCAGATGATGTATCTCAACATTTTTTTTTAGAAAGCCTATTAAACCTTATTGAAATATAAAGATAAATACCACATCATAATATTGGTGCAAATATTGTACCATTGAATTTGCAGTATACTACTTAAAATAAAACATTAAAATGTGTTTTTGTTGTGTGAAAGCTAAATATGTCCCTGCCATGCATGCCACGTTTACTGTTTTGTTCCTGACAACTGGAAGTTCAGGGTCATTGGAATACGTTATGAAAATCTCTTGGTTCTGCTTTGAATTGTCACAGCACTACCATCAAATACTTTCAGGTTTTGGAGAAAGGACAAGGTAAAATGGAGAGAAAAAGGTATACATTAAATAAAATGATTCAAGGAAAGGTAGTATGTGGAAATTCAGGAAAATTAAAGAAAACAAAGCAGATGGCCAAGATTGCAATCAGTATAGCATTAAAGAGAGTAAGAGAAAATAAAAGATTTTCAAGGATGAGTCTCATGAGATTAAACAACAACAAAGAGCAGTCACATTCAACATTTGCTACAGTTGAGATGTTGCATATGAACACATTTAAAAAAAATCTGCTGCTCATGTGTTTCAGTTAAGAGTGGCATGGTAGAAAAGTGGTTAGAGCTATTACTTGACAACAAGAAGGCCACATGCTTGTGTCAGGACATTTCTCCCTGCACATGCATACGTTTTCTCCAGGTACTCTGGTTTCCTTCTTCAGAACAAAAACATGCTTATTTGCTTCATTATTAACTAAATTGACGGCTTTCCCTCAACTCGGAGAGGAAAAGAAAGATGGATGGATGGATGGATGGATGGATGGATGGATGGATGGATGGATGGATGGATGGATGGATGGATGGATGGATGGATGGAAAGACAGACATTGAAATGTAATAATTACTTACATCCACACAACTGACATTATATCAATTCAAATACCCTCCAGTTACACAAAGTCTCATTATTTTTATTTTATTTTTAGTATTTTTCATGAAAATAAGATAAGATAATGTGCAATCTATAAAACCTTTGGGGAAAAAATGACCATTTTACCAAGGTAATCTAAATATTTTATGAAGTACTTAGCGAAACTTTGTGTAAACATGAATGTACTGTAAAGATTTCATCTTAAATAGTTTTGAAGAGTCAATAAATAATGTGCTCATAAAAGCATAGAAATATTGCAGAGATGGGGTGATGGTGGGAAAAATATTTAATGTGGCAACTGTTAAGTGAAAGAGACCAAATGAGTCATATACACTCACTTGGCTACAGAGTGATGAGACGGTTCAATGTACTGCGTTATAGTAGGAAGTAATGAGGCCTGCCTAAAAGTTGAGTCAGTAATTTAAATTTAAACTCACTCCTATTTAATAACTTTCACAACCAATTGTTTTGTGCATTCAACATGAATAAAACAAAGGCTCTGACTTGATAAATGGGGAAAAACTGGCCAACTAGTAATGCAGTGTGTTCATGACAGTACATATACTCAATGTAAGTTTTAAGACAATCATGTATGTTTTTTAAACTTAGGGGGATTTTCAAACACTCAAACTAGTTGAGCATTAAAAAAAGGTTTCTCTTGCCAGGCTGTAAAATCACTCAAAATTTTAAAATAAAAACAAAAAGACTATTCTCTTCTTCAGTTTACTGCATCCAGAGTTTTGGGTGTAGCACCAGTTTTGGTATAAAATATCTTGCTTCTTCAGTTTTGAAGTCCTTCAGATTAAAGAAAAGTCCTAACGCACTGAAAGAGTGGGAAGCATCAACAAAATCCTATTCACTGCCTCAGTTTGTTTGTGTTAATTGTACTGGTTTCATTTTCTTTGACAGTAATGGAGAAATACTACATGCAGTTCTTCGTTGATGCGATGGATTTCCATCATTTTGAACGTGACCAGGACAGATTTCCATCATCTGTAAAAATGAGGAAGGGGAAGAAAAAGTGTTTTGTTGTGGTCCCGTTAAAGCCATTCAATCTAACAATTACACAACTTTCAACCAATAAGGAAAACCAGAACCATAGTTTGACCCAGTCAGAGCAGAGCAGGGCGGGGCATGCAGTCTGGTTCATGGTGAGCATGTGAGCAGCAAAGACAAACTGCAGGTAAAAGCTCACCTGCAGTAAGTCAAGGAGGACACCACGCTATGCCCCTTCATGAAGATGATATGTAATAAATTATTAAACATCTACCTGTGCATGTGTTTGATTGGGTCAAAGTGTGGCTCTGGTTTCTACGAAACGTATGTGTTCACACGTGACCAAATCACTGCAGCCGGGGGAGATACTAGAACTGATCAACCCCACACCCTCCTCCTGCACTGTGCCTCGACCTCCCTGGGACTTTTGTTCTAAAATCTAACTTTTTATTAAATTTTAATGTGTTCGGAACATTGTCAGACATGTGCAACCTGTGCACATGACCAAACTCCAGGTACAAGAGTGTGAGAGACGTGCACCGCCATGGGAGCGTGCTGCCTGTTTTTGTCTTTCATTGCAAGAGAGGCTATTTAAATATATATTAAGGCTAAAAAACAATTTATGCCCCAGATTACAGTAGAGATGTGTGTCTCCATTTAACTTTAATTTTCCCCATTATGGTCTCTCTGGGAGTCAGTTTCAGGTGTTTGTAGATTATCATAAATATAAGCTAAATTCAATTCTACATGTTTTTACGACAAGGTGTTGTGTCAGTTTGTATGAGCTAAATTTTATTATATTTAGAATGATACTGAGAGGAAACTGTACTCTGATGGATGTAATTCAATAAATGATCAAATGTGTAAAGAAAACATTATTAAATAATTACATGAGGTGAAATTCTGTACATATAAACTGTTTTAAAAAATAGGGGAGAAAGGGGAGAAGTCTGTCAGTTTAGAACATTAAAAAAATGAAGTTAATTTAAACTCTTCAAAGGACTTTCTGTACTATATATGTTTTTAAATAATTTTGACAACCTCTCTAAAAGTAAATTACGGAAGAAAAAAAGTTCAAACCCCCTCTCTTCTTTCAGAAACAATTGGTCTTGATGGTGTTTTATTAAAGAAGACTGTTCTGTGTACTTTCACTAAGGTCATGTAAACTCTATGCTGTATACTTTTACTAAGATCATGTGCACGTCCTCTTTCCATGAAAACCTTTGTAAGGTGTTTAGAAAAAACTCCAGACAAAATAATTGTGTCTGCTTTAATCTATATGTGTGTATGTATGCATGCTTGCATGTATGCATACATGCATGCTTGCATGTATGCATACATGCGTGCATGCATGTATGTGTGCGTGCATGTGTGCGTGCATGTATGTATGCATGCATGTATATTTATTTCATTTGGTCAACCATAGATGAATAGAGAAATCATTTGGAAATTGTGCTTCAATTGATAAACTTTCATAACCTTACATCTGTTTGTTAAAGAAACAATAATTGATGTCATTAGTGCCTGTATGCAGGCACACGCACACACGCATACATGTTCTCTCTTTCTCTACGGCTTGCAATTTTGAATCCCCAGCAGGTCACCTCTAGTTAAAATTCCCTAAAGCCGCATCATTTTTGAAGAAAAGTCTTCAGTGCTTATGCTGTATGTCTTGAGATGACTAGTCAATTTTAAAATGGAAAGATCAGGCAACTTGTTTCTGCAACAGCCTGACAAAAAATATTACCCAAGTTATTCAGTTTAAAATACTGTATATTTGTATTCGACTGAGCCAGATGTTAGTTATACAACACATGTGAAATTGTACTAACACCCATGTATGCCAAAACCTTAGGCTAAGACTCCCTAGGTGCATTAAGCTATGCAAGTAAAGGTTTTCAGTCAGACATAGCCTGCACTATCCAGAAATTTTAAAATATAAACACTCTGAAAACTGCATTAACTGGATGATTGTATGGACTGCCACTGGATGCTGCCTCTTGTGGAGCTTCATCTTTCAGACACCAGAAATCCCTTGCTTTCTTGATCTCCTCCCCGCTGATCCCTCCTGTCGACTCTGTGCTGACTCAACTTCAGAATCTCACAAACACACAAAAAAACAAATCCACAAGTTCTTCTCCAACTGTTCTCAGAGGAAGACTCAGTAATTCTCAAAGGAAAAAAGAGTATTTGTCTTTACCAGAAACTTGCCACAAGAGGAGTAGAAGAGTCTCTCTTTAGGAATCCTCCATACTTTCCATCAAAGGAATTCTCATCAAGACCAAGTTGTCATGGTTGTATATTGTGACAACCCACTTCTCTGAAGACTACTGTTACTTACAGTAAATTGTCCAGTGATGCTTGGAAAAACAAAATTATTCAAAGCTGTATAAATTGTCATAGAAACAATGGTGCCCTAATGCTGATGTATTTTGTCTAATTACTAGGTAAAAACGTTTTTCTCCCATCTTAGAGCAAAAAAGGGAATTGGAGATACCTTTTGTCAGACCACTATCTACATCCATCCATCAGCATATCTTATGAGCTAGATAAATTAAAAATAAGTGAGGAAGCAACTGTCATTTTGGTGAGTGGCTGCATCTAGGTGTAATAAATGTCCCTATTAAAACTTAGAATGTCCAGTCAAAGTATAAGCTGGCCACCACCATGTGTAAACCAGCCATCCTGATCAAATTTAGACAAATAAGAAATTGCTTTCTAAAATTAGAAATTGCTTTCTAGTTTTTAAGTTGCATAAAATGATTGTTTCCTCAAATGACTGGTGTGGCC